CTGCTCCTCTCTCTCCCTGCCTTCCACCTCTCCCGTCCCGCTCGTCGCCTCCCTCGCCTCCCCTCCCTCCCCTCCCCTTCCCCTCCCCTCTGCCTCTCCTCCCTCCCTCCCCTCACCTTACCTCTCCCCCTCCCTCCCTCTCCCCTCCCTCTCCCCCCTCCCTTCCCTCCCCTCCCCTCCCCTCCCTCCCCCCCCGTAGCCTGTATGCCTTCACTCCGTCAAGATAGGAGCCTCTGTCGCGGGATTCCAGGGTGACCGCCTCGGCTCCCCTCGCCTTCTTCCCCCTCTCTCTTCCTCTCTTTTCTTTCTTTGTTTCTGCTCCTGCGATTGGCTTCGTCTTCTTCTTTCCTCTGTTTTCTATATCTCGGGGTCTTTCTCTTTCTCTCGTCTTTTTCTCTTTCCTCTCTCTTTCTCTTTCTCTTTCTCTTTCTCTTTCTCTCTCTCTCTGCTCTCCCCTTTCATTTCTTTCTCTTTTATCTCTCTTCCATTCATACCCTTTCTCCCTATTCTAATTTCTCTTTCACCCTTACTTTCTCTCCCTTTCCCCCTGGCTTTCTCGCTCTTCCTCTCCTATATCTCTTGTTTGCCTCTCTTCTATCCTCTACTTATCTTCCACTCTTACTCCCACTCCCTCTCCCTCAACCTCTCCCTCTCCCTCTCCCTCTCCTCCCTCTCCCTCTGCCTCTCAGCCTCTCCCTCTCCCTCTCTCCTCAGCCTCTCCCTCTCCGCTCCCCCCTCCCTCGCTCAAGCCTCTCCCTCCTCCCTCCCCCTAACTGCCTTCTTCCCTCTCCCTCTCCCACTCCCTCTTTCCTCTCCCTCTTCTCCTAGGCCTCTCCCTCTCCCTCTTCCCTCTCCCTCTCCCTCTCTCCTCAGCCTCTCGCCACTCTCCTCTGCCCTCTCCCTCTCTCCTCAGCCTCTCCCTCTCCCTCTCTCCTCAAGCCTCTCATCATCATCTGCACTCCCCTCTCACCCCCCTTCCCCTCCGGCCATGACCTGAATTTACAATCTACCTTTAGTTTCAGATACAAAATGGATGTTTGTTAAGCTTCTGAGCTTTCATTTCGGAGAAAAGGTCGTTCGGGATAATTCTATTTTTCTCATTTACTGTTTTTTCTTCCTTCGTTTTTTTTTTTTACTTTTCGTTTTTTTCTCATTTGTATGTTTCAGTTCTATGCCTTGTCTTTTTTTATTCTCTTCCTCTCACTATCTTTTTTTCTCCCGTTTCCTTCTTTTCGCTTCTCTGTTTTCCACCTTTTCTCTTCCTATGATCTTCGGCCCCTCTCTCTCTTCCTCTCTTCTCTTTTCTTCTCTTCTCTTAACTCATTCTCTTTCACCCTCCCTCCATTTCTCCCTCTCCCTTCCTCCGCCTCCTCCCATCCTCTCTTTCCCTCCCCTCCAACCCATCCCCCCCCCCCTCCTTTCCTCCCTCTCACGCCCACACCTTCCCTCCTACCCTTCCACACTCCCCTCCTTTCCCCTCCCTCCCCCCCCTCTCTCTCCCCGAGGGGAATCCAAAAGCCCAAAATATTTTACTTAAGATAAGTCCGGGTCTGCGAGTGGCCTCTCAGACGAAAATGCCATATCGGAAATGCCCCGGGCGAGGACGGGGTGGGGGGGAGGGGGGTGGAAAGGGACGCTTTAACGAGGGAGGGAGAGAGGGAGGGGAGGGGTGGGGAGAGGGGTGGAAGAGGGGAGGGGAAGGGGAGGGACGCTTTAACGAGGGAGGGGGAGGCAAGGTGGAAGAGGGGAGGCTAGGAGGGAAGGGTGGAAGAGGGGGAGGGGGGGAAGAAAGGGGAAGGGTTAGGGGAGAAGGGAAGGGGGAGGGTGAAATCAGAGGTAAAAAGGAAGGATGTTACAGGGGGAGAGTAAGGAGGGAGAGGGAGAGAAAGAAAGAAAGAGAGAGAGAATACTGTTGTTCGTTTCTCCAAAAGGGAAATAAACCGCAAGGAGCGATTTAAGGAAACGACAACACTTGCGACCAGCCAAGAGGTTGTTTTCCCACTGTGTTCGAATCCCAGAATCGTGGCTTGCATGATAAGGTATTCGTTTGTACTTAGCTTTTTTTTTCCTTTTTCTTTTTCTTCCCTTCCCTATTCTTTTCATCGCCTTATCGAAGACATTTATTCCTTTCTCTCTTTCCCTCTATTCCTTTCTCCTTTCCTCACCCTCGAAGACATTTATTCCTTTCTCTCTTTCCCTCTATTCCTTTCTCCTTTCCTCACCCTCGAAGACATTTATTATTCCTTTGTCCTCTCTCTTTCCCTCTATTCCTTTCTCCTTTCCTCACCTCTTGCTTTCCCTTTTTCTCTCCTTCCTCACCCTCGAAGAGATTTATTCTTTCCTCTCTCTATATCCCCGAGGGAGACGAAAGCCAAACCCGACGAGAGGAGACGAAAGCGGAAACCCGACCCAGGTGCCCGCCAGGCTCCCGATCCTGTCGGGATTCGAGCCAAATAGAGGCAGTTAATTATGTATCGCCGACGACACAGCACAGGGGATACATACGCAAAAGGGGGCTGGATTTTTTATCTCTTGTTGGAGTCTGGTTTTACGTATTGATGTTTGTATTCACGCTGTTGTCGTATTTTTGGTCTTGGCTTTTGGTTTCTGGGTTGGTTGAGGGAGGGGAGGGGAGGGGAGGGGGGGGAGGGGAGGGGAGGGGCAGGGGGAGGGATAGGAATAAGGATAATGGCAAAAATAAGGGCAAGGGAGAGGGAGGGCGAGAGGAGAAGGTGGGAGAGTAGGAAAAGGGAGAGAGTGAGGAAAAGGGAAGAGTAGGAATATCGGAGCAGAGAAACGTTTGGAAAAGCGTACGCATACACATACCTGCAT